AATATGCACACCAGTAGCATTATCGAACAATGTGATAGATTAACCAGGGTAATAATGTGATGGGAACAAAGCCTCCGGTGTACAACACTTCCTTGTTGCCTCTCCCAGATCGGCAAAAGCAGAATCATGTACTGTACATTAAGCCCTTTCAATTTTTTTAATATGCATGATTCATGCAGGTCACACTTAAAATTTTTACAAACAACACACATAGATACTTTCTGATTAGAGAGATGGCCTCTAAAGCTACATCTTGCCTGTAGCTTCCGCTCAGCTACTAGAGCCTTTATAAATTTGGTAACATAATGCATATTATTGCAGTTGTCTCTGAATACGTGTTGGGTCCCTCTTAACTTTATCCAGCCACTGATCCCTCATTTTTCTCTATCTTCAACACAGTATTTTGGTTTGAAAATGTCCATTTGTCTGTCCACATGGTCAGCATCTATGCCAACCAACCGCACAGCTATTTGTATGACCACTGGACAGGTTAAACCTTGCCTCTGGGTGTACCTCTTTTATTTTCTCTCATAAATCTAACAGTTATTGGGCACAAATGCAACAAAATCAGAAAAGGAAAGTTTAACATTTCTCAGCAGCAGCCTTACTGGTGTGAAACATCTAAAAAAGTCAGGATCCTGCAACAAGGTGATTGATTTTTATTTCACTCAGTCACACTCATTCAAGAGAATAAGCACATTTCAGAGTAAACATGGTTAGGGTTGCACTCTGACATCTAACATTGCAATCTCCTGTGACTCTAGTTAGGAACCCATTAAGTTCCTAACCCATTAAGGAAACAGGGTTTAAGCCTGCTGCATAAATCTGTTTAAAATGCTCCAATCACACCATTGTATATTATCTTTCACACATTTCTGTGATCCGTCTCCAGCTATGATGTCCTTAGTAGGTCATGCAGTTCTCAGATACTGCTCAAAAGATGTCATAGAGTATTACACCAGACTGGCTTTAAAAACAAGAAAATCCACAAACTCCGTTTCTGCCTAATACAAGGAACAACAGCAACACAATGTATGTTCTTCCTATGGACAGATTTGCAGTATTTTGAACAACACACTAAAGAACTTTCCAATTTCCCCTGGAATGCTCTCCTAGAGTATTGGGATTTGTGGATGATAAAGGATATAAAACAGGAGTGCAAAAGGAGATGATACCAAAAGGAGATGGAGGCAGTTTGAGTAGAGTTCTGCTTATTTAAAGATGTTGCAGATTTAAAGTATCCTGCCCCCCCTTCCATCCTCTTATTAATGAGAATGCATGACACTCTCACAAGTCTTTCAGGGACTGTAGGAGGGAAACATCCTCTCTTTAGCTTTTTTTCTGTTTATAATTCTGAAGACCCAGCGCCCCTGTGGCACTCAGAAAAAAAAAATCTAATTTCAATAATGTAAATCTTTGTACGTATTACATGGTGATTTCAACACTTCCCCGAAACTGCTTAAACTGGAAAAAAACAATTCTTACCCAATTTGTACGTAGCTGATGTCTGTCACTGCCAGGAAATTTCAACAAGATGAAACAAACCTTGATGATAACAGAGGCTTTATAGTCTTTCTCCTCTACAGAATGAAAAGATGTATCCACCATGCTGTGGAACAATGCTTTTCAGCTAGCATTAAAAAAAATTTAACACACTTACTGGGGCCACATTTATCACACTATTTGATCTCTCCCATCCTGGAAAATTAAATCCTCATAGTCAAACATATGATCCTTATTTCATTACTTCCTCATCATCTATTAAAGAACTCCAGCATGGTAGATAAGGAGAGCGACTTTCCCCAATGCCTTTGCACAAACTAATTAAATAAAGTAATGGTTCCCAACACTGGGTAACCCAGCTGTTCTTATACTGCAATTCCCAGAAACCCTGGCTAGCACAATTGGTGAAGGCTTCTGGGAACTGCAGTCCAAGAGCACCCGAGTTACCCAAGGTTCAGAACAAAGCACTGAAGGCACAAAGGTAAAATGTTTTCCAATCTGGTTCAGTTCTGGAAAAGCAATGGAGTTGAAACTATTGTTGCTGTAATTCACTACATTTACTAGAACAGCCTAATGAAATCCTAATGTGGATAGCTCAGTGGTTTAGCTATCTGGCTCTAGAGCCATAGGCTGGGAGTTCTACTTCTCACTGTGCCTCCTTAACAAGGGCTGGACTCGATGATCCATAGCATCCCTTCCAGCTCTGCAGTTTTTATTGTTGCTGTTGATAAATATAAGGCATTGTTTTTAAAATGATGCTTCCTTGTGCAGCAGTTTTCTTTTCAACATAATCTTACTTGTTTTTAAAATGATGCTTCCTTGTGCAGTTTTCTTTTCAACATAATCTTAGTGAGGCTCTTCTGCACTTTGGGGGCAAGAAAGATCCTCTATGATGGTGTTTAAAGTCTAAAATTCCTAGATTATAAAATCTGTGGAATTCTTCCATTTTTGAAATGTTAGCAAACTGAGCTATGGGTATTGTGCAGGCATGTCTCCTCACTTGCATGCTCTCGCCATGTTTCTTGATTGGCATTGTGCTCATCAGGCTCTATGGTACTGAAACTACCTTTAACTAGGATCTCACAAATCCTATGGCAAAACTCAGGTTGTGAGAAAAGCCTGTTTCATAGGAACAGGAAGCATCTAAATCCTTCCATTTCCCCCTAAAAGCATTACAGGAAGTACAAGAGAATAAAAAAGAATCATTGTAAGGTGTTTTACTTCAAAACTTTTATGTGGGTAATCTATTGAAAAAGCTAATGCAACTAACACATTAAAACTCAACATCTTACTTCAAATATTAGAGAGGTCCAATCCATGTTTAACTTCTAATACTTAACCAGATCAAATGAGAGCAAACTAATTTTTTACGAGTGGTTTTTTTTCCAGATTTCAACACTGCAATAGCAAGACTCCCATCTTGTGGCAGGCAGCATCATTGTAGCATATACATCACCAAAGAAAGACTTTGGCTGTTAGAATGTAAGCTGTTTGTTGTTGCCAGCAACAGTAGAGATGAATGTGTCAAGATTTTTAGACCAATGCAAATTTAGTTTGTTCTCCTAGCAGCAAAACATATTTCAGCTAGTTCGTGAATGTTAAAAAATTAGATTTACAAACTCCACTACTTAGTTTTCATTAACTTTTACACTAATTGTAATCAAGCAGATTCAGAAGCCTACTGCTACAGCTTTTCCAAGCATCAAAGCTCTGAAAGTCTTAAGTGGTATGTTCTAATATACAACAGAGGGATAACTTCTATTCAGTAGGCAAAAACTAGTCAATACATAACTATGTAGCCTTAGATATTGATATCTCTATTCAGTTAGTGCCCACATTACTGTCATCAGAATGCTTAGAGAGGAGCAATCTTTTGAAAAACTGAACAGGAAGCAGCTCTAGTCCCAAACATCTTCAGTTCCAGGACAGGCTAGTACTTTGACAATTGTGGGTAGTAAGTGATGCTGGGATTAAGTCTAGAATCCATCACCTCCATCTAACTATGCTGCTAGTCTCTTGTTAGTATTAAGGAATTGTGAAGAGATTATGGACTTCTTCGGGACTTTTCCATGTGCCTGCAAAGCAAGGCAGAGGAACATGAACTTTCACCCCATGGAAAACAGCTTGTTTGCACTTCTTCCCCATCTTCTGACCAGAGTTACTTCAAGAGACCTGAAATCAATAGGACTTCAACTTTCACCCCATGGAAAACAGCTTGTTTGTACTTCTTCCCCATCTTCTGTCCAGAGTTACTTCAAAAGAGACCTGAAATCAATAGGACTTCAAAGCAGAGCCTGACATAGGCACTTTATGTTCTGTATATCAAAGTAGTCATCAGTTGGTTTTGTCTACAAGATACGAAGTAGGCATGCTTCCTTGCCAGAGGATATGCAGATTTCAAACCTGGGAAGAAGGCATGTAAGAATGATCAAAGTAGATTAAAAGTAATTACATGATGGTCAGCCCAGATGACATTTACTTGTTTAAAAGGAAACTTAAAATTTGAGTCTTTTGAAGCTTAGCATAGCTTTGCTAAAGGTGTGATTTGTTTCTGGTGTATTACTCATAAGGAGACCTATATGCCTTATAAAAACCTGTGCCCAGGAAACAGTGTGTGTCACCTCAGTGTTACTCCATCACTTTACTTAGGTATGATATATAGAGTAAGGTTCATTATTTTCTCTGGTGTTTCTGTTTTGCGCTAGTAAGTTCTCTTATTTTTGAACTGTCCTTCTCCCCCCCGCCTTCTTTTTCCCTTAAAAATGAATAAATTCTAGAAATCTTTTCAAGCTGGTGTCTGGAAGGTGACTGAGAAGGGAAATGTAGTACTAATTTTCCAGTCCTTGTCTCAGTTAAGCTACTGAAAACACTATTATTTCTCAGGGAGCTGGTGGCAGCCTGTCATAATTTTAAGCTTTGAATCCCTGAAGCATGCATTGTTTCACAGGCTGAAGGTGTGTTGGGGTGAAAGATCTCAGCCAGAGTTCATGGCCTTCACTGTTTCTACTCTCTCTGGGTACTCCCACTCAGAGCAGAAGAGAGGTAATGTGGCAGAGTAGTTATAGTGAAGAGTCTGGTTTGGGATACTGACAGGCATCATTCATTAAAAAAGAAAAAAGAAAAAAAAGAAGACAGATGGCCCCATATAGATAAAATATGATGATCTACCAACACATGTGTATACTTTGAGATACCTAAAGTACTAACTAATGAAGTAGAAATAGTCTGTTCCTGAAAGCCTGTTCAAGTATGAGCAAAAGGTTTAAAGATGTACGGTAACTCTCAATTAACACTTCCCCAAATGGCGGCAGAGGGAAGAAAAACTACCTATGAATAATAGTTTATTGCAGGTCATCACTGGAAGCAGAATTGTAGGAGTAAAAGTACAAACCTTTATAAAACCACACGGACAATTGAAGCACACTTAAAAAGAATTAAATCAAGAGAAAAGATAGTTCAGTTATCAAAATACAGATAACTTTCACCAACAGGATCAATACAATGAACAGATACAGAGTTTTATTTTTCAAAATTACAAGGCTTCTTCTTAAGATAGCTTTTATTTCTTAACTTGACATGAAAAAAATAGGCAAGTTACACTAGAATTTAAAAACACGCCTAATACATTAACATAAGCCTGCCTCCTGATTAGGTATCTAAGTGAAGTAAAACTAGCAAAGGAATTTTGTCAAATTCTTCATTGTCCTACTCATGATGCAACTGATAGACAATGTTCTTTACAAATGCTCCAAGTAAAACCTATGTAACTTGATTGATAAAATACAAAAGTTTTCAGTACAAAATTTTTTGCTGAATATATCTTTCCTTCCCCTTCCAAAAAGCACCTAAGGATGTAAAAGGGCAAAGAGCAGATGGCTAGTCTAATAACCAAACCCCCACACGGTAGTTATTATTTCTGACTGAAGGTATTAAAAAGGGACCAGCATAAAAATGAGGGCTGTTCCAAAAAAAAGAAAAAGGACAATATTCAGTGCCAAATTTCACATTTCAAAAAGCTATATAATATGATTTCACTTACAAAAACCTCCATCTCTGTGACAAAGGAAATTAAGGCCAGACACAGCTTTAAAATTCACAAAAGGAAATACAAAAATATGTTGTGCTTCCAAGAAGGTTCTTCTCTTCAGGAAGGGATTAACTTAACTGAGGAATATATGTGGCTGGAGTTTACATAATTGCACAGCTCCTGTTGGCTGCTCGTGGGTCTCCCTGTTTTAAATAAAACAAAGACAGTCTTAATTAAAGCTATAGTAGAAATATTTTAAGCATCTTTCATGACCTGCAATACCTTACACACTATTCAGTATAAACAACAGTAGGTCACTCCTTACCAAGACAGAACATGGGGAGGCGTGGCTGGACTACAACAAACGTCCCCAGTAACAATTTTAGTGATAGTATGATGATGTGAATACATTCATACAAACCTCCGAATTTTTACTTGCTATTGGGCAGTAATGTTTTAATCATTAGCACAGTTTGAGGCTTGCTCAACAGTTATTCCACAACAGGTTCACCTCAATTGTAAATCCAAATTACACTGGCTGAAATCCTGTTGCCTAGTGTAGCAAGTCATAACTAGAGTTAGCCCACTGAATCAGTAGGGATTTGGTGAATCAACTCCTTCATGAATTCCACTGATTCAATAGCCCTACTCTAGTTGCAACTTACTACACTAAGCAACAGGATTTCAGCCCTTGTGTATGAACTAACAGCAAAACAGAAGAAAGTGGGTATAAAATAATTAATTACTAGGAGCAAATTCTAAATTTTTGGCTTGATTAGCACAACAGTCTGCTCACAGAATTAAAATCGCTGCTTTTGATCAATTCAAATGAAATGTTTAGTATAAAGATGCAAGAGAGTTCTTGTTAGTAACAAAATACTGAATATCATAGCAGTAAATTATATTCTGGATCACGTGTAAGCTATATAATTTATGTTGTCTGATGCTAAACAAATGTTAGTAACCTCAAGCTGGGGTCAGTTAAATGTTATCAATACAATTTTGTTAAGAAATGTCACAAGAGTAATATTGCTAAGTGTCTGTTCTTCTGCATTTGAGGGTCTCCTGTTACTAAGACTCTTTAGCATCTAAATATGGACTCTCACAATGCCTGCCATTTTTTTGTAGATAAATATTTAGCAGCAATTAAAACTGCTGTATTTATAAAACATTTAAATTATCAGGATCATACCTACAGTCATATGTTTACCTCATGGATCTCATACAAAAATGCTCTAATCCAAATGGAATTTTAAAAAGCATGTAATTATGGAAGACAAAGCTTCATTTCTTGTTTGTAATCATGTATGCAAAACTGAACAAGGTGGGCTATTTACCCCATTGCATGAAGAACTGAATGAGGCTTCCTGACTCATCTCAAACCCTTACTTCTTTCAAGTAGTATTACAACCTTCCAAGTGTTTCCTGATAGTCAGCATTTAAAATATTAGCTTCCCACAACACATGTAAATTGAAAAAATACCACTGAGAGATTTTCATAACCTCATCTGTTTGTGAGAAGCTGAATATAGTTTCGTTAATTTAGAAACCTTGAATAACCCATGGATATATATTACTGCATGAATTTACTGAAGGTAGAACACCACAGTTTTTCTGGCTGCAGAACCAGAGGCTGGGAGTTCTGATTCCCCACAGTGCCTCCCAAGGGAAGAGCCAGTCTGTGTAGCCGTGGGCAAGCTGTGGAGTCCTAAGGCACCCTCAGAAGGGAATGGTAAGCCACTTCTGAGTTTTCTCTACCTAGAAAACCCTATAAAAGGTTCCCGTAAGTCAGAATCGACTTGACGGCACACAATTGTTACTACTAGAACACAAACTCTGACGGCACACAATTGTTACTACAAACAATTTTAAAAGCCACTAGAAGCAATTTACTCTCTTTTTTGGTCATAATATTTCTAGATCTTCGGATGAATATACGGTTTCAGACTTTGTAATACTTTCAGAGATCCATAAATTTTGGCTCTGGAAATCTCTGTACAACTAATGCCTCCCTTGCAAGAGGTATCTTCTTTCCGAGCTCATGTCCCACAACTGAAAACATAGGGTTTTCCCTAGCTTTATCTCTGGAGCTGCAGCAGGAATCAGAGGCTTCCTTTGGCTCTCTGTCTGTTATAGATACAGTGGTGCCTCGACTTACGACCGTCTTGACTTGTGACCAATTCAAGTTACAACCAGCTCTGGTTGCAAAATTTTGCTTTGACTTGTGACCGGGGCGGCCAGAAAAAAAGGCGAGGAAATCTGAACTGCTAACTGTTGGTCAGCGAAGAGGCTGCTTCTCTGTAGCTCCTTCGCCTCAGCGGTTAGAGAGTGTGCGTCCTCTGGCTCGCTCCCTCTCTCACACACAAACGTGTGTGACACCTTTCATGTTGGCAGTGCCTATTTCGGGGAGGGAGGGGGCATACAGGTTCGGGGCTCCGCGAGGACCCTTGGAGGAGGAGGGCAATGAGAACCTTCCAGTGGTTACCAACGAGCTGCATGGCCGCTTGCCTCTGGGGAAGGAGGGGGGAGCTGCCTTTCTCTCAGATTTCCTGATGCTGTAGCAGCAGCTACCACCACAGTTTTTGGCTGCCTGGAGGTTTTGCTGCGGAGGAGAGTTTTCGCCCTTCTCCGCACCCTTTCGCTCGGGCCACTCGGTTCCTTTCCTTTTCCTCCTGGACAGCATCCAAGGATGCTGGGAAGAAAAGGGTCCTTGTTGTGTAGAAGGTGAATATGCTTTGGGATGTGTGCGCGTGCATGCTGTTTGTTTGAGGGAAGGAAAGGCACGGAGGGGGTGCCTCTTGTCCTCTGCCTTGCTCCCTTTGTCACACAGAAATGTGTGTGACGCCCTTCATGTTGGCAGTGCCTATTTCGCTTAGTTAATCAGGCTTGCTGGGAGGTTTTGTGAGGAAGGAGTTAAAACAGCCCCTCTCCCTTTCTGCTGTCGCTTCTGTGGCAGCCTCTTATGGCGGGGTGAGGAAAATTACGCAGGGGTGGCCTTCATGTTTTTTGTTAAATGAGGCGTGGTTGGAAGAAAGAGAGCTGAGAAAGGGACTTCTTGAAAGTGCCTCAGCTGTGCCAACCTTGCGGCACTGGGCATCCAGTTCTCCTCAGGGCTGTTGCTTCCCCGTGGCTGGTTGAGCTGTTGAAAACCTCACGGGTCTCTCTCCCTCTCGTGTGTGCACGTGCATGTGTGGCGAGCTGTGCGCACCCTTCCCACGCATGTGGTTTCGGGATTGTCCTAACCCCCAAATCTAGCAGCATCAACCAGAGAAAAAAAATGACTGGAAGGGTGTGTGTGTGGGGGGCCTTTGGACTGCCTAGTACTGCTTTTTGTTTTTTTTTAATTTTTAAACTGCCTGTTCTGGGCGACTACTGTACAGCAGGGGTTATCAACCCCCGGTCCACAGCCTGGTGTTGGTCCGTGGGCTTCCAGAACTGGGCCACAGATACGGATCACCGCCCCCCCCGCATGTACGGCGGGGCATGTCATGCTCACACCCCCTGCGAGTGCAACACCCCCACACACGGAGCTCACTCCCCCCCAGCTGGTCCGCAGCCCCAAAAAGGTTGGGGACTGCTGTTGTGCACGGTTTTGCAGTGTGGGTTTGACCCAAAAAGGTTGGGGACTGCTGTTGTGCAGGGTTTTGCAGTGTGAGTTTGGGGGGGGGGTTATGTTTCTGTGCTGTGACGGGTTTTATATTGCGTTTTTTAGTCCCTGCTAGGATGGTTTTTTTTCCGGGCTGCCCAAAAAGGTTGGGGACTGCTGTTGTGCAGGGTTTTGCAGTGTGAGTTTGGGGGGGGGGTTATGTTTCTGTGCTGTGACGGGTTTTATATTGCGTTTTTTAGTCCCTGCTAGGATGGTTTTTTTTCCGGGCTGCAACGGATTAGGGTTATGTTTCTGTGCTGTGATGGGTTTTATATTGTGTTTTTTAGTCCCTGCTAGGATGGATTTTTTTCCGGGCTGGAACGGATTAATCATGTTTCAATGTATTCCTATGGGAAATGGTGCTTTGAGTTACAACCGAGTTATGACCATATTCTAGAACGGATTAAGATCACAACTCAAGGCACCACTGCAGAAGCACCATAAATTCCAGGCTTCTGCTTAATATTGGGATGGGAAAAACAATAAACCTTGTCATCTTTGCATCAGAAGGTGTCTCTGCAATCATTTCAGGGAGCAAAAGCGCATAAAAACAGCAGTTAGTAAGTGCACTGAACTCATACTTCTATTCTGAGACATAATTTTTGATCTACTCGACAACTGCATGGAATATCTTTCTACAAAATACAATATTCAGAACATGTGTAATTTCTATTTCAAAGATACCTGCTGGTGAAATAGATCTTCCTCTTCTACAGCTTCAACTGCTTCTTCCTCTGCTTCTTCCCCATCTTCAGCTTCAAGTAAAGTCGTTTTGAAGACTGTGCTTCTCTGAGCAACTTCCTGTAATAAATGAATGAATTAATGAATATTGATTACAGAATTAAAGTAATTATGTTGTTTAACAGAGACTATTTTTAAAAAACTCATTACCTCTCCCTGAGAGTTTTTCAGTACAACTTTCACATCTTTGCCAGTACCCCAGGAGTTCTGGTTCTTCCAGATGAGGTCAGAAGGAGGACTAGCCACTACTCCAGCATTAGCAGCCCATATCTGGGAAGGGAACAGATATATCACTAGGAGTAAAAAAAATACTTTCCAGAAAAGAGCTACAGAAACTTTATTTATAACAATGGCTAGAGGCAAAGGACAAAATGGGAATGTAAGCAGACACACAGGAAATATGTTCAGTTTTAATTAAATACTGTAAAGCCTGACAGAGGGAGAAACAGCCCCAACGGAGCGTTTGTCATGGGGGAGGACAAGACATTAGGCTTCCCATTCTAATCTTCCCATGTCACCATATTCCCCATTAGAGATAGGCACAAACTGCTGGTTCAGAGTGTTTCTTTTATCAGCTGCATAGCTGACCAGCGTCACAACCCCTCTGGTGGCACCCACTCAGAGGTAGCATCTGGAAGAGCCGGGGTGCTGCTTCTGAGTGGCTACGTGCCAGAGTGGGCAGAGTCACAAACCACAGATCACCTGTTTGGCTGGTAAATGAACTGTGTTGAACCACCAAATTGCTTGTTCGTACCAATCTTTATTCCTGATACGTGTATCAACGAGTACACTTCAGAGAACACGTATTTATTGAAAAAAATCTGTCCATGGGAGAAATGCGGCATATAAATAAAACTAATAAACAAAATTAATAAAACTACTCAATAAACTGCTGAGAGCTTGTAACAGAAAATGAAACATATCCAGTCAAGCCTGTGGTAGTAACTAATTGTGGGAATCTTCAGCCTCCAAGTACATGTCTAACACATTACTGAGTTATTTTGTATGTTGCATAAAGTAGATTTCACTTACTGTAACAGTCTGGCCTGCCTTTAGAACATATCTTGAGGTATATTTGTAAGTGGTAGAAGTATCTCCTATTTTTCTGATCATCTCCCATCCTCCCATTGGTTGGTCCTAAACAAAAGCAGGGAAAAAAATCTACTTTTAACACCCAGTATCTTTGAACATTAAGCAATTCAAAATATGGGGAAGTACAATATGTTAGATGTCTTTTTGCTCTTCCTTTTTAACAATATGTAATCCTTATAGCTTTAGCTGTCATTTATCTTGCTGCTAAATTATCTAAGATTCATGATGTTGATTTATTTACCAGCTTTAGCTGTCATTTATCTTGCTGCTAAGTTATCTAAGAGATTCATGATGTTGATTTATTTACCCTAAACTGTTCTATTTTCAATGAACAAGTAGCTAGAGCTTCAGGAAAACTTGTTACTGTGTCTTTTTTTAATCACTAGAGGAATATTCTAGTATTCACCTCTAACTATAGATTAATTTACCACTGCTTCAATTTGAAAGAAAAGTATAACTGGTTATCACATACCAGATCAGAAGTGTTCTTCAAGCGGATAAACTTCCCATCTACATCAATTTCCTCAATGCAGATATTTCCAGTAGCTGAAGCTGAATGGGAGATACTAACACTACTACTGGCCTCCGACTCTTCAACATCAACCCTCTTCCTTTTCCCCCTGGTTGTACGCACACTTCGGCTCGATGATGCCCGAGAGACTGTTACACGAGATGATGGGCTGGGGGTAAGTTTCAGCCTGAAGAAGAGGAAGTCCATGAACATACATACCCCACTTTTTAAAATGTGTTTCCATCTCTCCCCTCTTAATTTCTTAGCAGCATATCCCAAGACAAAGTTTTTGAACAGAGCTGACTATTTTAAATAGTATGTTAAGATTTGTACATTATTAATTGCATGCAAGGTTGGATTTCAAGCACATGTCACAAAGAAGTGAAAAAAGAGGTTTCATGTCTGAAGTGGCCCTTGAATTATGAGTTAAGTAGTTATTTGGGGGCATCAGTTTTTTGGTGCAAGATTCAGAATGTGGACAATCCTACCCGAAGTTACAGCAGAGTAGCAGCTCTTCAGGCACATTCTAAGCTCTGCCAGTTTATACTGAGCTTGGCAAAAAGTATGTGTCACTTTCAAATCCCACCCCCAACAAGAACAGAAGGAACAAATTACACCAGTTCCAAGATGACACAACTGACAGGTTTCTCACAGGTCATGTTAGGGAAAAACAAAACAAAAATAAAAAAGATACAAATGTTGTGGCACCTTAAAAACTAACTGCTATGTTTTAATGTGAATTTCTGTGGACAAGTTCATGGTAACAAAGGAGATTCACAATCACCAGATCCAAAGCTGATTTATTTCTGCATCCAGCACATGGGAGTGAGCAACATACCCTTTAATTTTCAGCCTTGCTCTGCCTGTCTCGCGCACACCTCCACCCACAAGGTTCCATCACGACCGGAACCAAACACTATTGCTGCACGGTTAATGTGAATTTCTGTGGACAAGTTCATGGTAACAAAGGAGATTCACAATCACCAGATCCAAAGCTGATTTATTTCTGCATCCAGCACATGGGAGTGAGCAACATACCCTTTAATTTTCAGCCTTGCTCTGCCTGTCTCGCGCACACCTCCACCCACAAGGTTCCATCACGACCAGAACCAAACACTACTGCTGCACGGAGAAGAGAGCTGTGCTGAGGGAGGTGGAGTTGTGCACACGCCTAGCTTAGAGGGAACCTTGGAGTGGGGTCACACTAACTGTTGCTGCCAGGAAAATCACCAATGGTAGCTTTCCAACGTCATGGACAGAGCAGGAGCTTCTAAAAGGAACTTTATTCCCTCCACTCATGGAGCTCCAGTTTGTCACCAAAATATCATGAGCTCCCCCACCAAGGAACAGTAAAAAGCACAGGACAAAAATTGTCAAGAGTTGGCAATGTGTATCTTTATATATCTGTCATAAAGTTGCCAAAAGGTTTTGATCTCCATATATAATAAAGCTCACTTCCTGTTCCTTCAGTGTAGGTTCTGTCAATTTGAAATGAGTTGGCTAGATAACGGTAACTTTGTTACTGACAGATTAATTTCCAGCCTCTCTCAAACAGACAGTTCTTACCTTTCTTCTTCACCCTCTAACAGCTTCCTGTATGCATTGATTTCCATATCTAGAGCCAATTTTACATCTAGCAGTTGTTCATAATCATTTAATTGTTGCTGCATCTGATCTCTTATCTCAGCCATCTCTTTCTCTTTGTCAGAGAGTGTCCTGCGAAAGTTATCCCTTTCTTTAGCCAGGATATCCTCCAGTTCTTGCATCCTCTCAAGCCATCCTCTAGACTAGATATGGGGAGAAAAAAAATCACACAGCAATCTTAAGTTCTGAAAACCATTATTCAAAGACTGTATCATAAGACAAAACCCAGTAAAAATTTACATTTTGTTCATTTTTAAACTACAAACTGCATGTTTCATAATGTCTCTTTCTTCATATTTAAAGAGACAAAGCGTCTTATGATGGATATAAGCCATTTGATACACACAAGGAGAACACAGGCATACATTTCCTATCTTGTGCAATAATAAATCAAGCAAGTCACTGAAGAATTACAAAATGAGCTCATTAATAGAAGAGAGATTTAACCCATGCTACACAAAACAGGAAGTATTAATTTACTAACAGGCTTTACTAAGAGGGAAGGACAGGGCTAAACACTGGAGAAAACATTCAGATTTAACTATTATAATCGGTACTATTGTGTGCCCTCTAAGCAAAGTGGAAACTCTGAGACAAGTAGTTCAATTTTTGCTACCAGTATAATTATGAGGATTAATTAATTTTTCAGAAAATAACATCCAATGCATAAAATGTATGATTTGTTTTAGTTATGGTGAAATCTTTGAAACCCCACCTGGGAAATTGGAAATTCTGTCAGTTTACCCCTTTGCCTTCTGAAACATCAGATATACTGTCTACATGCTTTCAAACATACATTTACAAATACAGAGGCTAAAACTATTATTCATTTTAAAATAGAAAATGAATGTTGAGTGCACCTTTGTAAACAGAATCTTTAGGAATTTTAACATGCACATAGAAACAAATGCTAATAATACTGGATCCCTGAAATCTCCTTGCCTAGTGGGGACCAGATGTCCCATTATCAGTTACAATTCTGTAAATCCAGGCCACACACCAGCAACGCCATTATATAATAACAGAAGATGAAAACAGCTGGGATTGACATAAGGAGTATACAGGATGGAACTGGCCTGATCCATGCTAAACACAGGAATAAAAATTAAACTACAGTACTCTACAAATGTAGCCTGCAAAGTTGTCTCTACAAATGAAATCAAATATTCTAATTCCGATTAAATTCTTGTGTGCATACATATATACATAGACAAAAACGTTAGTCCATGAGAGGGAGGTTTCTCTGTGTTGGACTAGACCAAGTGTATATGAAAGTACAGTACAAAGTATCTGGACCTACCCCATCTCCAAAGTGTAAATGAGTATTAACCAAACACATAAGGCCAGGCTGTGTATGCATTTGTGTAATGTATAAAGTATCTGAGGAATAATCATCTTTCAGTAAAATGAGAAAATCAGCATCTGAATTCCTTACCTCTTTCTGCAAAGCAGCCAGTTGGGAAGATAGGCTGTCAATGCGCATGCGACTTTCCATGAGTTCTTCTCTTACTGTGTTGGCTGCAGAGCTAGACATTTCAGAGGAGAGTCTTGCATTCTCAAGCTGCGCAAAAGAAAGCAGAATACACTCACATTTGGTCAATCAACATATACGGAATCAGCAAGAACATCAAGACATGAAGTTTATGCAACACAGGAAACCAATCAAGCAGGCTTTTCTGACACACTAACAGCAAAGAACATGTGTAATACTTCCCTAGGACACAACCTTCCAGCCACAGAACACTTGCAATTCTTTCATTTCCAGTCAACCCAATTACCTTGTTTGGAAGCAACACCAAGCAAGAATTCTTTAGACTTCTGCCTGGTCAAGTATGACAATGCTGCCTGCTCACTCCTGCTACAAAATAGGATCTGCTAACAATCCATGGATATTCTGTACATCACGTTTATTGTGACATATGACTGGCTTATCTCTCCCATGACAACTAGGGTGCTGGGTTTGCATATTATGACACACAATGCATTAGTCCACTGTTTGTTGAGCTTTTCCCACTTGTCAAGACACTAGTATATGCCTGTCTGCAAGCATATCCAACACAGGAAACTTCATTAAGCAAAAGAACTAAGATAGACATCACATTCAAATA